CGCCGTCCTGCGGCGCACCTGCTTGGGGGCGCGTGCCAGCCCCCCTCGCCTCGCCTCGCCTCGCCCGCTCCCTGCTCACTGGGCTGAGCGAAGCGCAGGTTGTGCCCAGCGCCGCCTCGGGCTCTGCCATGTGTTCAGGCCTCGGCGGCGGGAGTGCCTCGCCGCGCTGCCTTCTGCCGCCTCCTCCTCCTCCTCCTCGCCTTCCTCCTCGGGTGCTTTGCCCACATCTGCGGCGCTCGAGCTGTGCAGAGCCTCGCTCCCCTTATGTAGCGACCATAAAAAATCTGGACGGGCTCCTTCATTTCTTTTCAGGTGGTTTTAATTCCTTGCTCATGTTCGTCCGCCTCCTGCTCCTGATTAACACCTCGTAAAACTGCGTGTTCCTGCAGAGCGACCTGCAATTGAGCTTGACCGTTTGGCCCTCCTGTGACCCTGGGCTGTTCCCTTCTCCTCTGAAGGCCAGTGCAGCAGTGAACCATGTAACGGCCCTCTTCTTGCAGAGAGCACATCAAGAAAATGTGCAGCAGTCCTGCCCTACTTATGGGACTGGTTGCACATAACCGCACTTTGTGGGATTTGTTCATCTCTCTTAGCATCTGCACTCACTGGTGTAATTTGCTTTAAGAACAGGGGCTTAATTGAATGCTGCACACACTCTGAGGCACAAGTCAATGTTCTTGCAGCATGGGAGTCTTGTAGCAAATGCATACCCCCTGCAAGCGCAGGTTTCGAGTCCTCGGTTGTTCACTCCTGCTGAATGCTTGAGTTCTTCCGGGCTCTCCGGGTGATAACCATGTCAAAGTCCATTAAGGGTGATGCTCATGAGCTGTGGCACCTAACTTAGCAACCTCTTTAACAATTCTGAGCCATGCACTCAGCTGTGCATGTTGGCCCTTTCTCCAAAATAACCCCCTTCTCCGGGTTGGTTTTCTGAGAAGTGCCTGCTCTTTCCAACGTGCGCGTTTCCCAATCCGAATCCCAGCATTAACGTTAACCGGGGAAGAGCCGAGCTCCCCGGGTATCCTGCCGGCCCGGCTACCCAAATCCTGAAATAAAAGCTGGTGGATGAGTCAAGCAGGGCTTTGTTTGGTGCGTGCTGTTGTTTTTGTAGGTGATTGAAAATAAATCACTGCAGGGCTGCAGTGACCGAGCTTTAATCCAATTATTATTTCAAACGCTACAAGTGTCGCATTGCTACGGACAGGTCTTGTGGCGAGCACACTAAAATGGATGGGCTAATTTCCAGTCTTATTGACATACACTGAACAATGAAACCCTTTCATTCTGTTAACTCTTACAGTGCGCACCTGTCCCACCAGACGCTGGTGCTGTGTGCTTGTTTTGATTTTTCGGGGCGAGTCCTGCCGGTGTTGGCCGCGCGGCCAGTGCAGTCTGGGGGGTGGCTGCTGCTTTTGTCAGGGAATCGGCAAAGGGCTAAAACAATAGCTAATGAACGTCTGCTCCCTGTTGGGTTGGCGTTTCCAACAATGCGGCAACATCTGCGCTTGTGTGCTGATGCAGCCTCCCCTGGGCTGCCGCTGTTACAACACTGTTGTTGCTACATTTACTTGTCCCCTAACGAGAGAACAACCCGGTAAAGCACAGTGATTCTTCGCAAAGCTGGGTTAAGACTCGTCGGGTTGTATCCTTTCTGAAAGAAACGGAGAACTGAAGATGAGGTCGACACTTTTGTTTGAGTCAAGCGCACCTCTGGTCCCAGGTCCCAGGTACCAGGCTCACCGCCGCTGTTCAGCCTGTATCCCAGAATCCTCCTCTTCCTGCTGGGGCCTGGTTTTCATCTGCTCCTACAGCAGACTCGTCCTGCACCCCGGGAATCGCCGTCCTCTTCCTGCGCCCGCCCAGGCTGGGAGCACCTCGACGGTCAGCTGGGCCCCCTGCTGCGGGCGCCGACGGGCTGCGATCCTGCGGAGCAGGCAGGCGGGCGGAGGAGCGGCGCGGCTCTCGCTGGGAAGAGCACCCCCCCGAGCAGCGGCGCTCCAACGTGCCAGTTCACTTCGGGGGCGAGTCCTGAAAAAATCCAGATCTTTGCGTTTGAACCAGGAGTTTGTCCTGAGCTGCCGCGGGTAGGGATGGGCACGTCCATCCTGATCTGATTTTGTTTTTAGAAAATGAATAACGGCGGCAGAAAAAAACAAAACGAAAAGCCATCGGTTCCGACCGGGGGCTGCCACACGACCGGGGGCTCTGAGCAGGAAGCCTACCTGGTAATTAGAATGCAGTCCTGGTCCCCCCACCCCCCCCGACCCCCCTCCCCTGAGCGCTGGCAGCGCCGGCGTCGCCTGAGACCCCGGAGGTGAGAGGCGCCACCTGCACTGCCGCGCCACCTGCGCCTGCTTCCCGGTGCCTGCCTTCATTACGCCGGGAATTTATAAAAGCGCTGCCGGCCCCCAACCAGCCGATTCTTCACAGAGCTGCGCTAAAGCGGCTCTTTATTAGAATTAATGTCGCACTTCAGAGAGGAGCCGGCGCGCGGGCTCGGCCGGGGTGCCACGAGAAAGAGTCCCCGGCCCCCAGCTGTCACTTCGAATAAAGCTGGGAGGACGAGCCGCGCGCGGGCATGAGGCTGGACAGCTCGTGACAGAACGGTTTTGGGGGGCCAGGGGAAAGCAAGGCCATTTTTTACAGCAGAGCATCATGACTATCTGTCATTGCACACAGACATAGATGAACGGGCCACCTTATATATACATAATGATGGCAGGCAGAACAGATAGACACATATGCAGAGACGTATATATCTGCGTAGTGTGCCGTCTTTATTGTGTTGTAGAAAATAAATTATGACATTATTCCCCGGGGCCCACAATAACACAAGGTGTTCTTTAAGGTCTCTCTAAGCCAGGTGCAGGCCTTTGTTTTAATCTGTTCTAATCCTTCTTGCAGCGAGCAGGTCGGAGTGATGGGGGTGGACTTGGGTGACTGATGAGCGCGTGAGCGATGCGTGTCGGGATGTATCCGCTGCACACTGCAGTCATCCTGTTGCAGAGCTGGGGGACAGGGTGGAGGAGAGGTCGCGTTCACTTGCATCAGGTCCGTTTTTCCCCGTCTCATCCTGAACCCGCGCTGTTCTGTCTCCCGATCTGCCCCGGGTTTGTGATCTGCACCAGCTGCAGCGCTGTGAGGTGACTCGGGGGTCAGGGGTCAGCACACACCAGGGCTTCAGGGCGCCCTGGCACTCCTGCCGAATTCCAGACAAGCCCAGGGCCCGTCCCGGACAGGTCGGGCTGTGGGGGCGCGGCAGGGTGAGCTCGGGGGCGCTTGTGATTCTGTGTGGTGGCCTGGTCACTGTTCA